TTTTTTTTTTTTTTTTAAAGCTTCCCTGTTGAGCTCTGGGTGTGGTGACAGCGCTTGGGATTTTAAGTTCAAGGGCAACCTGATGACATAAGGAGACCATCTCAAAAAAAAAAGCAACAGCCTCGCTATATATTTGTCTTGTAAAGTATTAAAGTTAAAGCTGAGATGATGGAATTTCTAAGACTTAAAGTTTTGAGAGATGTAGAAATAAGTGAGCTTCATTTCTGGAGCCACTTTCACTACGGATACTACAGGAGGGGCCTTTGGACATTTACTGTGGTCCTTTCCATTGTGTTGCCAGTGATCCTATGCAAGATTTTTTTTTATTGTGAAAATGCCATACAGAGGAGTTACAATTACATCGGCAAAGTAATGAGTACATTTCTTATCACGCATTGTTGCCTCCTCTTTTGTTTTCCCTTCCCATCCCTCCCCACCACCCCCGCCTCCCTACTCGTAAGATTTTTTTTATGGTAATAAAACTTAAAATTTTATGTGTAACTCTGCATAACAAATGTTTGTCTTCATTGCATAGTGCTTTATTCATTTTTATTATTGTGATATTTCCATATATATGCATATGTGCAATGTACTCCCTACTGCTTTTCTTGTTATTTATTTTTCCTGGTTCTAGGGCTTACACTCAAGGTCTTGGCACTATTTGGCTTACTTGCTCACAGCTGGTGTTCTACCTCTTGAGCCACAAGCCACACTTCTGCTCTGCTTTTTGCTAGTTAACTGGAGTTTGACTGCTTTAGACTTTTGTCCTCTGACTGGCTCCAGACACCATCCTCCAAGTCTCAGCCTCTTGAGTAGCTAGGATTACAGGTGTGTCACCAGTGCCCAGCTCACTTTGCATTGTTACACCCATGGAAATGAGAAATGCTTCCAGGATAGATGAAGTCAGACTACAGAGACAATAATATTTATTGAGAATTCATCTTGTTCAAGAATTGTGGCACAAGTTAATTTTTATTCTCAGAATATTTATTGAGTATTCACTGTGTGTGTCACTGTTCTAGGAGCGAGAGATGGATGTAGGAAAACAACAAATAAAAGTTCCTGTCCTTGAAAATGAACAAGTTTATGTAGTTGTATGAACTTACAGTTTTTTCCCTACAGTTTTCTGAGTGGTAGAAAAGTAGTTGTATTCAAATTCAGAACAGAATTAGGCTTAAGCACTATTCTCTAGTAGCAATTTTCAAGCATAGTTTTATTTCTCCTTATTGTGATCATAAATACTTTCCAGATTTTTCTATTGACCTTTGAGCATGGGCAGAAGCAAAGGGAAGAGTGAAGATGGAGAACTTGTTATGAATGAAGTATGTGGCAGCTGTACAGGAATGCTGTTGGTTTCCCAGAGCCTAGCATATTTCTTTTTGACATTGTTCAGAAAAGTACTGTAAACTTACAGGCAGAAGTAAACAAAGGCAGCCATTTTTGCTACTTACAAAACTTGGAAAGTAAAATAAAATTTGCCAAATAGAGAACAGACCTAACAGAAAATATTTTATCCTTCAGAAGTTTTTTGGATGAATGCTTTTTTTTTTTTTGGTCTGTCGTGGGGCTTGAACTCTGGGCCTGGGCGCTGTCTTTAAGCTCCAGCTCAAGGCCCAGTGCTCTACCACTTGAGCCACAGCACCACTTCTGGTTATCTAGTGGTTTATTAGAGGTAAGAGTTTCTCGGCTTGGCTTTGAGCCGTGATTCTCAGATCTCAGCCTCCTGAATAGCTAAGATTACAGGCATGACCCACCAGTTCCCAGTGGGATGAATGCTTTTAAAGCTCATACATAGTCTATGTGCTTTGGAGGTTAACTTTGATACCCATTTAAAATTCATTAAATCATAAAGGCAGTTTGTTTTAGTTTTAAATGTCAACTATTGACTTGAATTATTCACATATTATTTTGGAACTTTTTTTTTGAAGGAGGTTACAAATATCCTGTCTTGGGCTGGGAAGGTGGCTCAGTGGTAGAGCACTTGCCTTGCATGCCTGAGGCCCTGGGTTTGACTCCTCAGGACCACATAAACAAAAAGAAAAAAGCCGGAAGTGGCGTTGTGGCTCAAGTGGTAGAGGGCTAGCCTTGAGCTGAAGAGCTGAGGGACAGCGCCCAGGCCCAGAGTTGAGGCTTCACGACCGGACCCCCCAAAAAACAAACAAAAACAAACAAACAAAAAAACAAATATCCTGTCTTCAACATTTCCAGAAATGGCAAAATAGGAAATAAAATACTTAGTTTTTATAATTTTATATTGCTTTATCATTTGAGGAGTCTTTGATGATTAGTTATCAAATAGGAATTTTGCAGTTCTAGATAAACCTAATGATCCCATTTCTTTTTTTTTTTTTTTTTGGTCCGTTGTGGGGCTTGAACTCTGGGCCTGGACACTGTCCCTCAGCTCTTCAGCTCAAGGCTAGCGCTCTACCGCAGTGCCACTTCCAGCCTTTTTTGTTTATGTGGTGCTGAGGAAATCAAACCCAGGGAGGGCCTCATGCATGCAAGGCAAGCACTCTACCACTGAGCCACCTTCCCAACCCCTAATGATCCCATTTCTGAAAGCTCTATTCTAGGAAAATGATCTGTATAACAGAATGGAATACACAGCATATAGGGAAGTCTAGCCTTTAATCTCATTTGTAAGTGGAAGGCCCTGAGTTCAAGTTCTATATTGTTTAAAATAAAAATACAGGGCTGGGAAGGTGGCTCAGTGGTAGAGCACTTGCCTTGCATGTGTGAACCCCTGGGTTCGATTCCTCAGCACCACATAAGCAAAAAAGAAAAAAACCGGAAGTGGCACTGTGGCTCAAGTGGTAGAGTGCTAGCCTTGAGCTGAAGAGCTGAGGGACAATGCCTGTGCCCAGAGTTCAGGCCCCACGTCTGGACCTCCCCCCCAAAAAATAATAATAATAAAAATATAAAAAAAGAACCCTCCCATCGACAACGAGAAATAGTGTGATAGTGAGCAACTGATCATGGATTATTGTTTTACATTTTCATGGACTTTTCTTCTGTAAAAGAGCACCTATTTCATGACTTTTAAAAAATAATTTACAAAGGGGAATTGGGCTGGGTGCCAGTGGCTCATGCCTGTAATCCTAGCTGAGGATTGTGGTTTGAAGCCAGCCTGGGCTGGAAGTGAAGCCCTGGCTCAAAGTGGTAGAGTGCTAGCCTTGAGTGAAAATGCTCAGGGACAGCACCTAGGCTCCGATTTCAAGCCACATGATTGACAAAAAAAGGGGAATTGTCCTTAAGATCCTTCAAGTAATAGCCGTTCTTTTCCATTTGTTGCAGGTGGTACGGTTGTGTCAGAACCCAAAGCTGGCGTTAAAGAATAGTCCACCTTATATCTTAGACCTGCTGCCAGATACCTACCAGCATCTCCGTACTGTCTTGTCAAGATATGAGGGGAAGATGGAAACACTTGGAGAAAACGAATATTTTAGGGTGTTCATGGAGAATTTGATGAAGAAAACTAAGCAGACCATAAGCCTCTTCAAAGAGGGCAAAGAAAGAATGTATGAGGAGAATTCCCAGCCTAGGTAATGGAGAAAAATACTACACAAATATTGATGCAGGTCTGTGCTTGCCTGGAGTTGGCTTGAGTTTTATTTTAACTGTAGTGAAAAGCTGACATGATATAAAGATGTGCTTTATATAAAAGGTTACTTTGGTGCACTGCACTATACCATGCTTAGATGTGCTAGATTTGTTTATCTCTGAAAATAAGTGATTTATATACTGGTTGTGCATAGTAGGTCCTTTGGGGAGTCCGAAGATCATGAAAGTTTTTGTGTAGTTGGAGAATTTGAAAGAAGATTGCGGTAGAGAATAAATAATAGGTCAGATTTTACTATAGTAGCATATTATGTAGGTTGTAAACATTGAGTAAAAGGAAAATAAGCCAATAGATTAGATGACTTTTGTTTGGTTATTTTTATTTATTATTTATTTTTTGCTGGTCCTGGGTGCTGTCTCTGAGTTCTTTTTGATTAAGGCTGGAACTCTACCACTTGAAACAGAACTACTTCCAGTCTTTTTTTTTCTGTTATTAATTGAAGGTAAGAGTCTCATATACTTTCTTGCCCAGGCTGGCTTTGAACTGTGATCCTTAGATCTCAGCCTCCTGAGTAGCTGGGATTATATGTGTGAGCCACCAACACCTGGTTATAGCAAAGTGAAGTGACATTTCTTTTCTTTCCTTTTTTTTTTTTTTGGTCAGTTGTGGGGCTTGAACTCTGGGCTTGGGCACTATCCTTCAGGTCTAGGTGAGCGTTCTACCTCTTGAGCCACAGCACCACTTCCGGTTTTCTAGTGGTTTATTGGAGATGAGTCTCGTGGAATTTCCTCCCCGGGCTGGGGATCTCAGCCTCCTGAATAGCTAGGATTACAGGCATAAGCCACTGGTGCCTGGCGACATTTCTTTTATAACTAAAATAACTTTCTTTTTTTGGCCATGGGGCTTGAACTCTGGGCCTGGGCGCTGTCCTTCAGCTCAAGGCTAACGCTCTACCTCTTGAGCTACAGTACCACTTCCGGTTTCCTGGTGGTTTATTGGTGATGAGAGTTTCACGGACTTTTCTACCCAGGCTGGTTTTGAACCGTGATCCTCAGATCTCAGCCTCCTGAGTAGCTAGGATTACAGTCGTGAGCCACCGGTGCCCGGCTTAAAATAACTTATTTTAACTAGAGTAGGTAAAGGCAAATATAAGATATTTAATTCGTAACACTCTCCTCCACATGTATGCTAGGCATATGCTAGGCATTTAGCTACATAGTACCAATTCACAGTTTATTCCATAAACATTGGAGAGACCACTATGTGTTTTTTTATACTATTAAATACTAAAAACTAGGCTGTCCTATATGTTACTCGTTTGCTTATTGTTAGTTATATACTGGGAAGAAGTTAACTGTGGATGTAATTATACTTGATTTTTTTCCAGTTGGAAATAAATATTAACTCATCTAGAACAAGTAATAAAATGCAAATTTCACTTATATATATTTATATATATATATAATTCTTTTTGGCAATTGGGCTTAAACTCATTGCCTGGGCACTGTCTCTGAGCTCTTCTCAAGGCTAGTGCTCTACCACTTTGAGCCACAGCTCCATTTCCGGTTTTCTGGTGTTTAATTGGAGATAAGAGTCTCATAGACTTTCCTGCCTGAGCAGGCTTTGAAACTGTGATCCTCATATCTCAGCCTCCTGAGTAGCTAGGATACAGGCATGAGCCACCAGCGCCTGGCTTCCACTAAGAGTTTTTAAGTGAGTAATTTACTTTTGAGGAGTGATTTGAGTTGAGGACCAGTACCTAAATGGTGTCTGTGTAGATGACTAATTTGGCTCGCTTGGCTTACGTGTTGACAGCTTGGTGTCACTTAAATTTTTCTCTGTCATATGTATGTTGCCTTTTCTGTAAGAAATTACTCAGATTTAGTCCATATGTATTATAAGTCTTGTCTTACTGAAAATGTTTTTTGGTGGCAATTCAGAAAAATTTGTGACTTTTCAGGAAAATGAGGAAGGCAGATTATGAGTCCAGGCCAGCCTGGCCTGCATAGTAAAGGGGATCCTATCTCAAACACAATGGTTAATAGGATTTTAAAGAAAAAGATGTGTAGACTTTTAATGTTGGCTCTTTCTGTATACCCTCTCCTCTGTATTTTGCACTATACATACTAGCTTCTCTGGCTTCTCCAGACTTGGAACCAGAATATTAGGTTGCCTGGGCAACCCTCAAGTCTTGGAACTGTCCAGGAGTAAAGTAAGGCAGTCATAGGACTTCTTCATTGCTTGTCCCCTCTATGGCTCATGTCAAGTGTCTTAAAAACTGTTGTTTCATAAACTTTGTCTAGCGTTTTAGTTCTTTTAGGTCATGTGGGAAGGTAAGTGTCTCTGTAATTTCATCTTGAATCAAAGCAGAAGTTCAGTCTAGAGCTTAGAGCATTTTCTGATGCAGATGCAATTAATATTTATCATTTCTTGCTTTGTACAAGATATATGTTCAAAACTCAGATCTAGTCTTCACTCTGTCATGCTGCATATATTAATGAAACCCTTTACTTACAGTGCCCAATACTTAGGCACTGTATATTTACTGCTGAGAAAAATAACATGGCCTTTGCCCTCTATAAGGACAATATTTTTCACTTTACAGATAGGGAAGTTGGGGGCTGGGAAGGTGGCTCAGTGGTAGAGTGCTTGCCTTGCATGCCTGAGGCCCTGGGTTCGATTCCTCAGTACCACATAAGCAAAAAGAAAAAAAAAGCCAGAAGTGACGCTGTGGCTCAAGTGGTAGAGTGCTAGCCTTGAGCTGAAGAGCTGAGGGACAGCATCCAGGCCCAGAGTTCAGGCCCCACGACTGGACCCCCCAAAAAAAAACCAAAAAAAAGATAGGGAAGTTGAAGCTGAAGAAGTAACCTAAGTCTATGTGCCAGTGCCTTAAAAAAAAATCTAACCTTGAAAATGTTAAGACCAGAATGACTGTATTTTATTCTCTGCTATAGAAATAGACTTTTGGAAGCCATATTTTTAAAAAAGATTATTAAGTAGTTTGCAGAGTAGTTGCAGTTCCCATAAGTTGGGTTGGGAATACATCACATCTTGATCAATGTCACTCCTTCCCTTGTGCATTTCCTTTCTACCCTTCCTATCCTCAAATTAGATAGTTCAGTTTTTACATATTCTACATTGAATATAATGATTGCATTTGAGGAGGCCACATTTAAAGGATGTCATATCAAATATTAAACTAAATAAATTGGCGAATCTGGGGCCACTCCCTTTTTATGGGTGTTGGGGTTTGAACTCAGGGCCTTGTGCTTCTTTGTCAAGCATTCTATAACTTGAGTCATGCTCCTAGCTCGATTTTGCTTTACTTATTTTTCAGATAGGGCTTTGCAATTTTGTCTGGGCCAAGTATCTTGGACTGCCTATCCTTCCTATGGTTTCCACATAGCTGGGATCGCAGTAGCTGTATCACAGTTGCACACTGCTGCTTGTTTGAGCTGGGGCTTTTCAAACTTCATGCCCTGGCTGGCCTCAAACCACAATTTCCCTTCCTCTACACCTCTGTCTTCCCAGTAGCTGGAACCACAGGTGTGAGCTACCACACCTGGCTTTTGACACAAAAATACCAGTGCGGCTTACCATCAGAGTATGTATTCACATAATAACAGAATTTCACTCCACGGTGTTCTAGTTAGGACACAGGTTGAGTATGTATGGAGAGAGAGAGAATATGGAGATACTGTCCTAAGCCTGCCTCTGAATAATGAGCATTAGCTTTTGTAAAACCAGAGCATTATTGAGAAGTAGGCTATGAATGTCAAGTAGAATGTGCAAAAGTTTTTTTCTAATCACTTTGCTGTAAGAGTGCCAACCTAGAGTTGGTCTACAACCATAATGCTTGTGAGGTCTACAGTTGCATTTAAATTAGAACATTTTAAAGAATGAGCTCAAAAGCTGGCTACAAGAATGTTTTTCTTGCCAGCCTGTAGCATACAAGGCCAACTGAATGCCTCCTAGAGATACATGTTATGAAAATGTTAGCAAAGCTGGCAACTTCAGAAGCATGCTGGCAACTTACTGTTTCTACTTTTTACTTTTATTTGCTATGTATTGAATTTGAAATTTCTTCAGAAAACTCAAATCCTACATACTAAGTTTGTTAAGGAAATGAAGAGCTTCAGTTAGCATTTCGTTCCTCTTTCTTTAAGCCCTCCCCTGCCCCTTTTACATGCAAAACACTCAACAGCTTGCTGTCTAATAGAACACATCTATGGTTGAAATTCAAGTTCAAGTATTTGGAGTTAATGCCTCCTAACTTGAGTTGTTCTTATTTTTATATTTGTTCTGATTATTTACATTTTAAATAGTTCATTATTTTCTTTTGTCTGTGAAGTTGGAACCGATAATAGTGCTCCTTTTTCTCCTCTAACTTCACTGGTGTGAGTGTGGTTAAGCCCATCACTTAGGAAAGAAAATCTTCCATTGTTTCTCTGAACAGTGGCCTCATTTCCCTTGATATGAACCTTTGACCTATATATGGCCGAAAGTTTTTTTTTCTTCTAGATCAAGGTTTTATATATTATTTTCCTTGCAGACCCATATTGACAAAGACTCTTCATAGCAAAGTTTTTTAGTCTGGTTTCACTTAATGGTGCACTTACATATCAGAAAATATGTGTGGTGTTGTGTGATGGGTTGAATGTGTACAGAAATATGATGCGGTGCGGGATTGTGCAGCTGGATTGCCTAGATTTATCTACTCTATTTACTATTTGTATGACCTTAAACAAGGTACTTTTCCCCCCTTTTTGGTAGTATTGAGATTTAAATTCAGGACCATGCTCTTGCTAGGCTGTTGCTCTACCAATTGAGCCATGCTCCCAGCTCCTTCATTTAGCTCAGATTTCTCATTTTAAAGTATTTTCATATTGTAACTGTTAATCATTTAATGTAAATATAAAATTACATTGCATCCCATAAGCATATACAATTAAATAAAATTTAGATTGGAGATGTTACTCCAGC